GTCATCGCCGCCACTGTGGTTGGCCTCCACTGTGTGACAGCTTCTGTGCTCTGTCCTCCTGCATCTAGGCCAGCAGGGCCGGTGACAGTGGCTGACTCAGAGGTTCCAGCCCCCACAGAAACTCTCTGCTCTAGCATGGTTGTCACGGTCAGAGGTTCAGGGTGTGCACCCACAGTGTTGGTAATATTTATCAACATTTCTGGGGGGTCTGTGCCTTCCGGAGAATAGTCCGGCTCTTCAAACTCATCATCCGAAGCGGCCTGTCTCCGGTCCCGGAGATGCACTGGCTCCAAGGCTTCCTTGATTCCGTGCTCCCAGGGGTCCCACGACCGAAGGCAGTTGCCAGGGCCCAAGAGGCTCAGCAGCAGAAGCAAGTGTGGAAGCATGGTACCTGGGAAGACAGGGGCAGAGAGGCAGGAGGGATGGCATCAGCCTGTGCTGGCTGAGGATCTCACAGGCAGCCCTGGTCTGGTCTGGGGCAGGCACTGTGCAGCAGACATCTCTTGAGATGGGACTCTTGGCTGCTAGAAGCTTTGCACTTAGCCACATAAATAACGCCATCAGAGATGGTTTACCAACCTCACTAGCAGTTTTGGTTAAATTTTGTTTTCTCCCCCTCTGCCCCCACCGGTTTTTTACCCTCCCCTCTGGAGACAGGGTTTCTCTGTAGCTTTGGAGCCTGTCCTGGAACTCGCTCTGTAAACCAAACTGATCTCAAACTCACAGAGATCCACCTGCCTCTGCCTCCCAAGTGCTGGGATTTAAGATGTGCGCCACCAACTCCTGGTTTATTCTTAACTAAATATATGCATCTGGCCTGGTACTCACTTTGTGGTGCAGACTGGCCTTGGACTAAGCAATCCTCCTGCCTCAGCATCTCACACTACAGCATGAAGGGGTGTGCCACTGAGCCCAGCAAAGGAAGTCTTACTTACTACATTCACTTATCTTTTTTAAGAAGATTTATTTTTATTTTATGCATATAATTGTTTTGCCTGCCTGCATGTCTGTGTGTGCACCATGTGCATGCAGTGGCCTTGGCAAATAGGAGAGGACGTCAGATCCCCTGGAACTGGACTTACAGACAGTTATAAGCTGCCATGTGGGTTCTGGGAACCAAACCCGGGTCCTCTGCAAGAGCAGTCAGTAATCTCAACGGCTGAGCCATCTCTGCAAGGCCTCCATTTACATTTTTGTGTTAGCTCTTCTCAATGTCTGGGTTTTAGTTATTTGTGTTTTATTTATTTTGCATGTGTGTGCATATGTGTGTGCACACGCAAGCCATGTGTGCAGGTCAGAAGACAACCTGCAGGAGTCAGTTCCCTCCTTGTCAGCCCAGGGATTCAAACTGGTTCTCAGTCTTGGCAGCAGTCGTCTTCACCAGCTGAGCCTCTTATTGGCCCTTAAGTTTCTATTTTAGACATTAACAGTGTCAAAAGAACAGCAGGTGTCACACAATACAGTGGCTGAGTAGAGGAGCCCTCTGGGGTCTGAGGACAAAGCCAGCTCCTTGGTCCCTAATAGGTCTTAGCCCCATCCCCTTCATCTCTCTGTCTCCTCCCTGCCCCACACAATTTTTGCCTGTCTTCAGTTCTCTCTCTCTCTCTCTCTCTCTCTCTCTCTCTCTCTCTCTCTCTCCTTAAAAAAGGATGTATTTGAACTTAACAAGGACAACACCAATAGACATGCCATAGGGGACCTAGAAAGACTTCAGCCCTACTTAAGAACTTCAGCCAACTAAGGAATGCTGAAATGGAGAGAAATAGTCCTCCCCAGGGAAGAGCACGCCAACTGGTTATCCACCACCCAATAGTCATCTCTGAAAACATACATGCAAGTAACCTTATACAGAAACAACAATTAATGAAAAAAGAAGCCATGAATTTGAAATAGTTCAAGGAGGGATATATGGAAGGGTTTAGATCAAAAAAAGGGAAGGGGGAAATGATGTAATTATAGTCTCAAAAATAAAAATAAAAAACCTGCTGGGTGGTGGCACACACCTTTAATCCCAACACTTGGGAGGCAGAAGCAGGCAGATCTCTGTGAGTTTGAGGCCAGCCTGGTCTACAGAGCAAGTTCCAGGACAGCCAGGTCTACATAGAGAAACCCTGTCTTGGACAACCAATAAAACAAATAAATAAAAAAATTAAAACTTTAAAAAAAGTTTCTTCTTAGTATTTTATACTATCCATATGACATGTCTATATGGGGCTGTGTGCACCTGAGTGTAGGCATCGGGTCCCCTGGAGCTGCAGTTACAGACGGTTGTGAGCTGCCAGATGTGGGTGCTGGGAACCAAACACAGGTACTCTGGAAAAGCAGCAAGTGTCTTAACCACTGAGCCATCTCTCCCCTTCTCTGCATCTCTCCTTAGTCCTGTTCCCTTTGTGTCCTTGCTTGGACAATGGGGATGACAAGACTTGCCTCAAAGGCACTGTGAAGATGTCATGTTATAGCAAATTCTCAGCCAACATTGGATGCTCTGGTTGCTCCAGTCAATTTATTCTATAAATCCCTCAGGGCCCAGAGCCATCAACTGCAGGTTCAGGACCCAGGAGGAACCTCACCTCTCAAGGAGCTCAGCCTTCAGACTTGTCTGTATGAGACCACTGTCCTCCCAACCAGGGAACCAGGAAGAACAGCCCCTTTCCTTTAGGCCATCATCCCCTTGTCTCCTTACTTCCTCCAGGCATTGTCCAGGATTTATAAAGGCCAGCCCTAAAGAACACTGTGGTGAGTGGCAGGAGCTGGGTACTTGGTGCCCTGCACACAGCATCCTGCAGCAGTACACTACCCCTCCAACAGTGTCTTTGAAGTGGACAGCTTCCGCATCCATCATTTCCTATATTTTTCCCTGGTCCTTCATTTGTGTAATTGGCAGGAGGGAGGGACAAGATGACTCTAACCTGTAGGGCCCTCCTAGGGTTTGATGTGGCCTCTTTCACGGGTTAGTTAGTATTGCACCAAGTTTTTGTTTGTTTGTTTGTTTGTTTGGTTGGTTGGTTGGTTGGTTGGTTGGTTGGTTTTTTTGAGACAGGGTTTCTCTGTGGCTTTGGAGGCTATCCTGGAACTAGCTCTTGTAGACCAGGCTGGTCTCGAACTTACAGAGATCTGCCTGCCTCTGCCTCCCAGGGGCTGGGATTAAAGGCATACACCACCAACGCCCGGCTTTGCACCAAGTTTTTAAATGCAACTCTGAGCACATCTTTGTGGGCTTTTTTTCCTTTGTTTTTATTGTTATTTCGAGACAGAGTTTCTCTACATAGCCCTAGCTGTCCTGGCACTCATTCAGTAGCCCTGACTCACCTTGAACTCTCAAGTCTGCCTCTCAAGTCCTGGGATTAAAGGTATGAACCACTATGCCCAGTTTGATCACATCTTCTACTGAAATGTGAAAACAAACTTTATGGTACTTGCATGGACAGTCACCCCTGTTACAGAGGCAGGCACAGGCTCAGAGATGCCAAGATTTTTGCCCAAAGACACCTGGGAAGGGAGTGGCCAAGTCCAGACCAAGGGAGGCTTTATGGAAAACATAGCCTGGGTGAAGGAGCAGAGGTGCTGACCAGCAGAGGGCTTAGTTCAGGCCTGTGGAGCTTGGATCCTGGAAGTGGGGAAAGGCTCACACTAGTTGTTCAGTAACCACCAAGGTCCTAGAAAGGGGCAGCAGACAATGGCATCAGATGGGAGGGGGTTCAAACACTGCCTCTTAGAAGCTGTGTGACTTTGAAACAGGCACTTGCCTCTCTGAGCAGGGTTCCTTCTTAGAGGAAAAGACATGACCCTGACTGGGTCCTGTTTACCTGGGGGGAGAGCAATGCAGGAAGAAGCCACCGGTGCTGAGGTAAGTGTCATCATCATGACAAAGTACACCGCGCTGCCCACACCCACTACCTCCCCTTGGTTCCTGGAAGGCAGAGACTTAACCACTTCCTGAAATGGGGGTGGGGTGGGGTGGGCACTACAAAGGCTAGCCCTTCAGTTCCTGGGGGCAAAGCAGCTTGTGGGGGGTCAGAGAGTCTGAAAGTCAGGGGTCCCATCTGCAGGTGAGGGCCAATCAGAAAGGAGCCAGGCTGCTTCCTACCCACAATCTCCTGTACATAGAGGCAGCCTGGGGTGAAGACAGGGCTGGCCAGAATCCCATATTCACCTCATAGAGCTATGTGACTCTGAGTGCCCTCCCCAACCCTCAGCTGCCTCATGTATAAAATGAGTGACATTGCTTCAAAGATGTCCCATGGGAGGTCCCTGATGTTGGCTTCTGAAAGGAAGAAGCCTTCTGTGAGGACACAGCGAGGCTCAGGTTCAAGAGGGCCATGGAAATGAGAATGCTGCCACTGTGGCATCCAGGGAACTGGGAGCCGTTCCCTCCTGTGGGTGGGAGCAGGGCAGCAGCGAGCAGGGTGGAGGGAGGGCCCTGGCATCAGAAGGGTTGCTGGGTCCAGCCTGAGCAACACCTCTGTCTCATATAAATAAGTAAATACATTAACTAATATAGTTTCTTCTTTAAAATATGTGATCAGGCATGCTGATGCATAGCTGTAATCCCAGCACTTGGGAGCTAGAGACAGAAGAACATACGTTCAGCTGTAAAAGTAAATGTGTAAACCAAGAGCTGGGGCTGTGCCTCCCTGGTTGGGGCTGTGCCTCCATGGAAGAACATTTGCTTAGCACAGAAGATGATGTGCCCAAATCTCCTTGCCTGGGCCTGTCCAGCTTGAACCACAAGTCATACATCACAGAAGTCCCCAAGTCTCTACTACCCAGGGCCACTGGCTGCTCCAGGCCATGCCCTGCCATCAATGGACATCAACAGGATGGGCCTGGAACACCACGGCCTGGAACATCTGTCCTCTGCAGGGATGGAATCTCGCCATGCCCGAAACAGGTGGACCAGTACCAGATGCGTCACTGGTGATGTTTCCTGAGGTCCAGCTGAAAGCGACTCTCATCAAGGCCCCGTCAGGCTGCCGCTGCAGTGGCTTTTCTCTGGGTAAACTCCCCCATCTTCTCAAGACCCCCATGACACAGATGAGGAAGGCAAGCCTTGGAAGGGTGGCTCACCCTCCTACCCTCAGGTGACAGGAAAACAAGATCAGGGCTGGGCTGAGCTTCGAGAGGGTGGAGCCATGTCCAAGTCCAATTTGTCTCGATGCTTGCCTGCCTGTTTCCTGTCCTTCACCCCCAAACCAGTAGCTATCTCCCTCACCCCTGGGGTTTATGAAAGGCAGGCTGCCAGGGCCCTCGTTCCTCCAACACTTTTGACTCTCTTAACAGCATCTTAGAGTGATTTTCAGACTCCAAGAGAGGCAAAGCATATGCCAACAACCAGGGGAGACTGGGGCACATGCACCTCAGGTCCCATGAGGGGTCTATGTCATGGAGTCAGATGACAGTCCATCATAGTTCTGTCCCAGACAAAGCTGTATGACTGTGGGCAACTCAATTCACCTCTCTGAGCCATGGGTATCCCATCTGCTATATAGGTGTGCCTCGGTTTGCCATGGGGTTTAGTCCCTGTGAATCTGTGGTGGCACGGACGTGTGAGAAATACATTAACACACTTGACCTGACAACACACTGTAGAATAGCCAGGCTCAGCTAAAACGTGTTGGAAATGCTTACCTCAGCCTGCAGTTGGGCAACATTGTCTAACTCCAGCCTGCAGTGTCTAAGAATCGATAGCCCAGGATAGATCAGATCAAAAACTCAAACTGTGGGTTCTCCAGGATGGCTGCTACTTTCACACCACCACGAGGGCAAACAGTCACTGGACAGCACTGAGGACAGTGTGTGCAGAGGCAAGAGATCCATTCCTCTGCCTGGCAGTGGTGGCACACACCTTTAATCCCAGCACTCAGGAGGCAGAGGCAGGTGGATCTCTGAGAGTTGGAGGCCAGCATGTCTACAGAACTAGTTCCAGGATATCCAGGGCTGCTACACAGAGAAACTAAGAGAGAGAGAGAGAGAGAGAGAGAGAGAGAGAGAGAGAGATCCCATTCCTCATGGGGCTGCTGAGGGTGAGTGAGGTGTGGTACTCACAAGATGTTTAGCAACCAGTAAATGCTCAATAAAAGCCAGCTGTTAATCATCATCATCTTTTTGAAATGGGGTCTCACTATGTGGCTAGTCTGGAAACTCACTATGTAGATTAGACTGGTCTTGAACTCGCAGAGATCCAATTGCCTCTGCCTCCCGGGGAGTGCTGGGACTAAAACCATGTCTAGATCATTGTCATAACTTTGAATTTTGCATTTAGGGCAAGGGGCTCCCTGTTAACCACTGTTTTGTCCTGGGAAATCCCCAACCTTAGAGCAGGCTGGAACTGGCCTTTGCTTCCCCAGAGAACTGAGATGCACAGCAGTTGGTCTCTGTGGAAGGACCTGGATGCCACCCTCAGTTTCAACCTCCAGGTTTGTGAGTCATACAGACTGAGTTTGGTGTGTGTGCTGAATATCGCCCTAAGACCTGTCCCATTAAAGGATGGAACCATCGTTCTGAGGCCCCCAGACACCTAGAGTCACACAGGCCAGGCCAGAAGCAGGAGCTTGAAGCCAGGCAACAACACCCCCCACCCCACCCCCTGCCACACACACACACACACAGAGCCCCAAATCATCTGTTCTTGGAACCATTCAGATCGTCTTGGGTTTGGTCCAGCATCTTCCATTCTGTAAACCTTCCTGAAGTTTGTCTCCTAAAACTCCATTCAAGTTAACCCATGAATTCCTGAAGCTCAATAATACAACCACCTGGAGACAGTGCCACATGCCCGGGATCGAGCAACAGGCAGGCACACAGCTGGGGTCTCCCGTGACTCTTGTGCCTTAGACTCAGGGGCACCAGGGTAATCTTCTCTGGGCCACCCCACCAGCCCACAAGCTCATGGAGGGCAGGAACTCTGTAGCTGTCAACACCAACAGGCCCGGCATGCCCGGTCAGGACCACTCCCAGCCCCTGAACTGCACAGAGATGCCGTCTGCAGTCTCCTGTATTTGTCAACTAACACATCCCACCTTTTAAAATTCACATTCCCACCTATAAACTTTTTGTTTGTTCTGAGGTAGTCTCATGTTACAACTGGCTCTTTAGCTAAAAATGACCTTAAATTACTGAGTCTGCCTGCTGAGTACTGAGATTAGAGCTGTGTGCCTTGACACTCAGTTCCTATCATTCATTCATTCATTCATTTTGAGACAAGAGTCTCACTATTGTGGAATATTAATTTAAGATGTGTTTGCATTGGTTTACGCTGTGGAACATTTGTTTAGTGATGCAAAGACATGTTACATTTGCTTGATTAAGTAAAATTAACCTGGGGTCAGGAGGCTGAGTCAGCAACTAGTTGACAGGAAGTGGTAGGGAGGAACCATGTATAGCGAGGGTTCTTAAGTGGGGGTTGAGTCCCAGTTTTGGGGGAGCCATAAGCTAGGAGAGGAGGTTAGCTACTTGCTATTTCACCTCAGACTTTGAATCCCAAGTCCTACAGAGGGACAGAGATCTAGATAAAGTTCCCTTTAGTCGGGTGCCAGAGAGGGAATTCAGAATTCCCATCTGGCTACGGCCAATGCCGATGAACTGGTAGCTGCAGACTTGCAACTGCTGGTTAGGACAGCTTAAGGGACTGCTACTAAATTTAATGAAAAACAACATCTCCCTACGTGACCCAGGCTCGCCTCAAACTCATAGAGATGTACCTGCCTCTGCTTCCAGAAAATGCTGAGATTAAAGGTGTGCGCCTCCACTCTGGGGCCCCGACTCTTCACTAGTAAACATCCTGTGTGTCTAATTAATATCCTGTGGCCCCATTGCAAGGCCACAAAGCATGGTGTTAGATAATGTGGGGGCTCCTTAGCCCCAGGAACCAAGCATGGCTTGTTGGAACCCTAGGGCACTGGCCAGCTACAGGTCAGCTGTGAGGCTTAGCACGAATTAACTCAAGGAGAGCTTCACCTGGCTTTCTGAAAAGGCATATATAGCACATAGCCCAGCCAGATGGTCTCCCTCAAGTGCATCACCCTCCGATCCCCTTTTCCTGCACTATGCATCAAAGGAGACTGACAGAACTAGTCACCACTGTCCAGGCGCCTGCAGCCAGAGGCCTGTGTGGCAGCCTAACTCAGTGCCTCTAGCACATGACATCATATGTAGCTGCCTCTCTCCTCAGAGCTTGGTTTCCCCACCTATAAACAGCAGCATTGACCTTTAGGAACACCCAGGTGACCCCAAGGCACCAAAACCCCTCTGGTGGCCCAGGAGGGACCCAACCCAGGTTTTCTGGGGGTGCTTAGCAGGATGGCTCTTCCGTTCCCCAGTTTCAGCTCTCTGGCTGCTGGCCATTCTGGTGAGGAAGGAACATCCACACAGGGTGTGGCATCAGCAGAGGCACCCAGAAGAGCCACCTCCCTAACCCTAACCCTAACCCTAACCCTAACTTGTATATAGAAGTTAGTTACGGGAAAAGGAGGTAAGATGAGGCCACCAAAAAGCAGAGTGGTCAGACAACAGGAACCAATTTCTATCTGCAGGGGGAAGGGCTCGAGGTTGCTCGGTGCCAAGCTTGCCAAAGGGCCTGGGCCAAACCCCAATATCATCCAGCAAAGGCAACACAGGTCTGTAGGTATGGCAGATGGGATCTGCTTGGGTCTTCAGCCCCTGCCAGTCTCCAGTGGGCAGTGTTTTGCCTAGCATGCCTGAAGTCCTGGTTTTGATTCCAGCATCAACGAACCAGGTGCGGTAGAGGTACATGCCTATAACCACAGGCTCACAACCATCTTTAACTCCAGTTCCAAGGGATCTGACACCATCTTCTAGCCTATGAGGGCACTGTACACATGTAATGAGCAGACATACATGTAATCGAACACACATACAAAGAACATTTTTTTAAAATTAAGACTAATTTAAAAACAATTTTTCATGAACAAGTTCTATTTTCAAAATCTAATTTAATTTTTTTAAAAAAGCAAAAAAGATATGGGTGGGCTAGATGACTCAGAGGGCAAAAGTGCCTGCCAGGGATGTCCACTGGCCTGAGTTTAGTTCCCTGAACAGACTCTGACCTCCACACATGCTGCATGATATTCATGTGCCTGTCCGTACACACAAGTTCATATGAGCACACAAACACAGCAATAATAACATACAAATAAAAATAAAAAATTTAAATCATCAAAGAAGATTGGCATGGTGGTTCATACCTGTAACCCCAGCACTGGGCCAAAGCAAGAGGCTAGCCTGGGCTACATAGAGTTCCAAGCCAGCCTAATGAACAAATGGAAACTATATATAATTTGAAAGAGAGAGAATCCCAAAGAATATTTTCATGCTGTAACAACCTCAAGATGAATTCCACACCATCCTTTTGGGACTCTTCCAGACTTAGTCTCAACTCTGGTCTTAAGTTTCCCCCTCATGACAAGAGCGGGCAGGATAGTTCCTAGGGAGAGGGCCCAGACTTCTGAGTCTCCATTCAGAGACTGCAAGGTAGCAGCCATGGCCTGGTAACCAGACAGCAGTTAGGCAGTATCAGGAGAGACCCACAGCTAAGGCTAGAGGAGACCCAGTCTCCAATGAGACCTTAGTCCAGGGCCTCAGTGACACTTGGAAGGGCCCCGGGTTCTGCCATGTGTGCTAGCAACACAAAGGCAGGCCTCTTGTCCCTAGAGCCCCCAGCCACTCCCCAAAGTTTTGCAAACCAGAACTTACCCTGCTCAGCAGAGCATGGGGCAGCTGCCTCAGGGCCCAGAAGTGACTCTGCCTCAGTGACAAGGCCCCAGCCCACACTGCCAGACACTTGTGGTCCCAATGCGCCTACCCCCAACGGCAGGGTGTGGAAGAAGGAAGTGAGAGTGTGGTTACTCAGGCTGGTCATGTGACACCCACACCCCCTTGTTTGTGACAGCTTTGGTGACAAGTCTGATTAAAATTGGGTGAGCATTGGCCTGATGCCACTCTTGGAAATCAAGGAAGGTATGGGACCTTACAGGTGACGGGACCTCTGGGTGAGACCTCAGACAAGAGTCACAGCATTTCCATGGGCAATGGAGAGTGTGGCCAGAAAGAACCCTGTCACGGGAGGCTGAGGCCAGTTGAAAGGGAGGGCAGGTCTCACTTCCATTCAAGATGGAAAATGGCAGGCAGAGGGGAAGGAACCACAATGCACCCACTTCTTTGCTGCTTGTATATAGAAGAGCTTTCGTGTCATGTGTGTGTGTGTGTGTGTGTGTGTGTGTGTGTGTGTGTGTATCCCCATCTCTGTAGCTCAGCTTGTACTCAGCATCCTCCCTTCTCCTGGGCAATAGGATGCTTTTCTTCTCACTCGGTTCTACATAACCAGATGCAGTGGTTCTCACTTACAATCCCAGCACTGGGGAGGCCAAGGCAGAGAGTGCTGCAGGTTTGAGGCCAACCCGGGCTAAAGAATATGACTGTCCTGGCCACTCCACAGGTGAATCACCAGGTCCCTTTAGCAGAATTCTCCAGGCAGTAACGTCCCCAATTCCCCAGTGGATTTCTCCTCCCTATCTTGTTCCTTTGGCCAACCCTACATCTCAGGTTGTATACCATCCATGGGCTCATGCTGTCCCTCCTGTAGTCCTTCATGGGACAGTGGGACCAGCCAGGAAACAGGGCAAGAGACCATCACCACATACTGCCCAGTAAATATGTTACTCCAGGGTGGGCTGTAGAGTCAGGCAGGAGAAGTGACAATGACACCAGGGGTCACAACCAGGGCTGCACTGAGTAGACAGGCTCAGGTTGAGAGTGCACAGCACAGATCTGGAAGGGGGAAGGGGGATTAGCCTCCAGGGTCTGCCCTGCCTGCTTGCAAGGCCAGGCTCAGGACCCACATAGAGAGAAGGCATACCCTGCCTTGCATGCACACAGATTATTTAAAAAATGAAAGTCAGCAGGGCCAGGTGGTACATGTTTGTAACCATGGCACTTAAAAGTCAATAACAAGAAGGGTTTGAGGTCAGCCTGAGCTACAAAATGAGACCCATCTCGATAAAATAAAATATGAGCCAGGTATGGTAGTTCATGCCTGTCATCCCAGCATTTGAGAGGCTGAGGCCGGCCTGGGTTATGATATAATGAGTATCAGGCCAACCAGAATCCCACAGCTTATGTCAGAAAACAAAACAGGGCCATGTATAAAGGTGCCTGCCACCAAACCCTGAGAACCTGAGTTCAAGTCCTGGAATCTACCAAGTAGAACTGACTCCTAAAAGTAGTTGTTCTCTGTCTGTCTGTCTGTCTGTCTGTCTGTCTGTCTGTCGGTGCCTCTCTGTCTGTCTGTCTGTCTGTCTGTCTCTGTCTCTCTCTCTTACACACACACACACACACACACACACAAACACACACACACCATGACATGAATGTGTATGCACTTATACATACATAGAATAAATGAAATTTAAAAATGTCTAAAAGCAAGCAAACACACAAAACAAAACAAACAAAAAAGATAGACAGACCCAAGGCTCTGTGATCAGTCATGACAGTATCTTTTAACTGCCTTAGGAAGCCAGCGCTGAGGCCCTCAGCTGACCTCACCTGAATAGACAGATAAATTGCAGCGACAGGACTCAAATCTGGGGCTGTGATGTGAACTACATGAAAAGGAACCGCTACTGTTCTTTGTCCTGGTGAGTGCCTTGCCACCCAGCTCCGCCCCAGCCAGTTGATGTGGCAGAAGACAGCTGCCTTTCACCCAATCAAGGTCCATCGAGCAGGGAGACTTGCTTTCTAGAGGCACACACATTGCCAAGTGGATCCCGGTTCAAGCTTTCTGTGTGGGGACCATAAAGCCACATCCTCCTGCACCTGACACCTGCAAGGCGAGCCATCACGCAAGCAGCTTTGTGCCTCTAGGAATGGAGCCCTGAAGACTCTCCAGCACCCCCAAGGACCAAAGCAATGGTACTCAGCATGAGAACATCTTGGGGAAACACACAAGTTCCACACCAGGGAGATCTGTCCTTGGTGGAATACAAAGCAAGCGTTAAAATTATATCCCCACTTGTTAAAGCACATTTAAAAGGAGGCAGAATAAAGGACCCTGAGCAGACAGACAGACAGGCCCTGCTTGATTTGCAAACAGACACAAACAAAACTTTAGCCATTTCTAGGAACTACCTAAAGACAGACAGGACTTGTCCTCAACCAATCAGAAGTAACCAATACAGTTATAATCAACCAATCAGAAGTAGCCAATACAGTTATGATCAATCACTAGGAATCTTCCAAACCAATCAGATCTGTTTTCCTTTTGAATCTCTCAAGTACCCTCAGCTGAATTCCTGAACCTCGATGGCTTGAAGCTTATTAGTTTTTTATTACATTTTGTGCATGCATGTGTATGTGTGTGTACACCCCCGAGTGTGTACACAGGTCAAAGGGCAACATTTTGTTTTTTTTTTTTTTTTTTTTTTTTTTTTTTTTT